TGACAGATTCCTCTACTTGCAGCCTAAAGAAATACTGTGATCTCAATGTTTCTGTTGTTAAAGAACTTACTAAAATGTGTCTGTTCATTATTTATCTCATCAGGTCTAAACTAGCCACATAGTTTAAGAAGATCCAGCTCACATTTTCAGTAGGTCTCATACAGAACCAGTTATTGGGTGTTACAAATAAAAGTAACAGCTTACGCATCTATACAAGTTTTGCTTCTTTTCTAAAATAGAACCCAAATACTCTCCATTTTTTTTTAGTTGGTTTGCACTGAAAACAGATTACCATAGACATATTTTCTGAGAGACACATCACTAGGGAATCTCTTGCTCCTACATGTCTTACTGGATAAGGCAAGAATACAAAGCCCTGACCACTCTTTACCCAGGCCATTTCTCAGGGTTGGGTTTCCAGCAAGCAACTTTAGGGGATGAGGAAAAGTCTCCTTCTGGACAAAGAGGAGGCTTGCTTCCTGTTTGCTATAAAAATGGTAGATTCTCCAAGTTCCTGCTCCTTTACTGCAAAAACAAAAAAGAATGCTATGTACAGAACATCCATCTGGGGCTGTATTACATCACTCCCATGCTAACAATACTAACAACAACTGAAATCTCTAACTTAACTGTTCAACACTATTTCTAGGGAAAATAAATACAAAGTTCCAATTTGGCATGCCAGGGGAATGCCCCTCACACCATCTCTAATATCTGCCGGCCCTTGCAAAGGAATTCCTTCCCTCCCTCCCTCAGCACCTCTTTTCACGATAGCTCTAGGGTTCCCATGAAGAGACTTACAAGGAGTAGTCCCCCGGGAATGGAGAAGGTCAAGGCCTCTAACTAGAGATGCAGGAAAAGGGTACAAGGCAATGAAGGGTTTGAAAGATGTTCACTGGAGTGAATGGACAGGCAGGAAAGAATACCTTCGACCTCCTGGAAGCACAGTCAGTACCTCGTAATCAACCTCCCATCTGAGGTTACTTCTAGTTCTACACCAGTTTCTGATCACTGTCAGAGTCTTTTGCTGTCCCTTGGCCCACGGTAGAATATGCAGAATATAATTTCATCACTTCTTTTCTGGCCCTTTATCCCAGTAACACAAATAATGTAATTCCACAATCCTAAAACCAGAGCAGTAACATTTCATAAACTTTTGGTATTATGGCGGGTAGGCAGAAGTAGTTAAGTGCAATGTAGATTTAAACAGATTCCTTGTTCTCCAGCCCTCGGTTTGACATCTGGCAACATTCAATTGCCCTTTAAAGACAGATAAGGAGGCTCTCCTACGAAGTTCACTTTATAGTTCTGAAGATTTCCATTTATTAACAAAGTCCATAGAGAATTTCTACACTGAAATAAGAGACTATGTTCATTTTTTCCATCAGGATCAGAGCCAAAAGCAAACCATACTTCTTGAAAACTGAGGTAAGATTTCCAAGAGTTAAACAAAACGGATTTACCAGCAAAAGGCAGGAAGAGTGAAATTATAATTTGAACCAGGCAAATCGTTTCATAACAAAAATGTGGCACTTAATGCAGTTTGCAGAATACGGTATGCTAAAAACGCTACTTATGGCAGTAGCAGACCTCGAGAGAGAGCAACCAGCCAAAAAAAGACCTTAAAAAAAAGGTAGAAAAAATGTAGCCATGTCAGCATCATAAAACCACAACAGACTGATACAATATTTTTGCTGAATTATAACTTCTTCACCACACTTTGGTTTAGGAGCACAAAAAGCACATAATTAAATTTTTTGTTTTGGTTTTTGACCATTTGATTAGGAATTTATACTAATTCAAATTTATCTTAATTTAACAAGATGTAAGGATAACATTTGAGGTCAACCAAGTTACTAACACAGAAGACTGTATGAGCAGATCAAAGTTCTCTTCTGCAGCTCCTTCTGGAACAGATTTATTTTGGGTTCCTGAGTGGGTTGGCCAGCTGATAGGACAGACTAATGCTTCATTAGCTGAAACAAATATTCAGTCAAAACCTCTACCAAAAAACTCACACTGACAAGGCTTAGCTCACTCCCTAACGTGCTTGCCAAGTAAAAATAAGAACAAAAACCTCAATGCAGGTTGACTAGAAAATTATCCTAATAGTCTTTAAGTCTCTTGTACTAAATGCAGAGCACTTGAATCTTTTATAATACTGTCAACTCTAAATTCTGAAAAGTATTAAGAATGCTAGAATAAGTATTGCCAAAACCCAAAGCTAATATTTATTAGTACTATATTTTCTCATCTCTCACTTCCTCAGTCATAACTGAGATTTTGTCAGCAAATTACTCAACAAATTTTCAGAGCCCTCTTAAGAACACAAAAGCAGAAGAGACATAGTCTTTCACATCTAAGAACCAATAAAAGAAGATGTCTGGCTAATGGACCAACATATAATTAACTGAAATATGTTTCAAAATTATAAAATGCATCAGTGGCATACAATGATCACCAATGTTCAGGTGCTCAGTATTCAGACACTGACTTCCTCTGTTTTCTAAATATAATGGCTGTCGAGCCAGGCATGGTGGTGCACACCTGTAATCCCACCGGCACTCCAGAGACTGAGGCAAGAGGATTGCCTCAAGTTCAAGGCCAGCCTGGGCTACATAGTGAGTTCAGAGCCAGACTGAACTACAAAGCAAGACCCTGGCTCAAAAAAAAAAAAAATTAATAAATTAATATAATAGCTGTCTAAAAGAAAAACTTTCTATATCTTAAACTGTACCTACTCCAGGTAAGTCCTCTAGAATAATTCAGAACAATTCTCTTATTTTCCACATGACAACTTTCATTTCCTAGATGATGGATCCCAAGTCTTTCAGTCTTTTCTTCATTCCAACCATTAAACCTTTCTCCTACCCATGACATGGTTTGTAGACACCCTCCCCATCCTATCTATGTTCCTCTGGATTTCTCCAGGACTGCGATGTCATAATTCTATGATACAGACTTAGGTTACATCAATATTTTTTAAAACTGTGGCATACTATTGACCTATATATATATATTTAAAGGTAATTAGACTTTTATCTTTTTTATGTCTAAAGTATTTGTGAAAAATATTTTAAATGTTCTAACATATTACATAAAAGCAACTTCGAATATTTTGTATTGTTAGTTTCACTGGGAACATTACACAAGAAACCTTCAAGTTCATAACTTCAGGAGCACTCAAAGGAAATTTTTTTTTTTTTTGTACCAGGGATCAAATTCAGGACCTTGCGCTTGCGAGGCAGGCATGGTGGCACTGAGCTAAATCGCCAGCCCACTCAATGGAAATTTTAAGCGATCTTTTAAATTTCTTTTTAAATCCACTTTCACCATTCATAACTTTCTTAGTCTCCTGTGAAAAACATACTCTTTTCTTGTTGGTTGTACAACTTCTTAATTGAAAATATCGGACCGGGGATTTAGCTCAGTGGTTCCAGTGCCTGCCTCACAAGCACAAGGTCCCGAGTTCGCGCAAGGTCCCGAGTTCGATTCCTGATACCAAACAACAAAAATAAAAACAAACAAACAAAAAAGAAAATATCATGCAATATTTTTGTTACCATCATTCTTTTGCTTATGATAAAAATTTTCCCATGCACCCAAAGGAGACAGATTAAACACTTGGCTTCCATGTCTATCAATATTTTTCTAATCTTGCTTCCCTATCCTGTCTTCACTTTGTGCCTTGAGGCCATTTTAAAATAAACAGCAATCTGAAACACATACTGTACATTAGGGCCTACTATGCCATAAGTATTGTGCTCTTTGAGTCCTTAAAATAATATAACAAAATAGTCAACCCTAATTTTTGTACTAGTCACATCCTCCATTCTCATATGGCATTAATTTTCTCAATGTCTTGACATGCATTGTTTTCAATACCTACATAAATTATAGGTCTCTTATGTTAGAACTTGGATGCTCTACTCTCACTCAGCAATATTTCTTTGCTATCTCTTCCTACAATATAGCCAACTAAGATTACTAGGTTGCATTAATGGAACAGCAGAGCAAATACACAACAAATTGGTGTATGCTGATATGCTGGTTAATAAATTCTGGTAGGCAGACCAGACAGTAGTCTTAGAAACAACCTTCCACAACTCATTGGATTTGGAAAAAAATATTTGGATTTGGAAAATATTAATAATTAAATATTTTTAAAGTAATTTATCTAAAGAAAGGAAGGAATAACAATACTAACAACAAGTAATATCCATTTCAATTAAAAAAAATAGGCTTTGCTTCTACAATCATAATTTTAAACAGTCCACTTTAGATTATTATACTTAACTTTGACTAAATTTTAGGACCTTGATATTCAATTACTGTTAAATAAACAAGGTGAGCTATTTCTAATCACTTTGAAAGAAAGCAAAAGTTAGCTAGCAAGTGTTATAAATAGGCTTAGGAAGTGACAGATCTTAGGAAACTGTGATTTATAAGTTACAAGAAATCCCTAGAACATGCTAGAAAATTTTAAGGTTTACAAAGATGAGAAAGTTTCAAGTAATTTTTAAGAGGCAGAATTCCTCAGGGTAGCAAGTCATCATTATACAGTGCTGAAAACTTGAAAAGCTCAAGAGAGAAGCTAAATATAAAATGTGCCTATAAAGTAGTCCTTAGACTCTTATCTGAGGAATTCTTAAAAGGATTTTCAATCAGGAAATACGAAAAAATCCGTAAAATATCAGTGGATGATCAGGTTGACAGGGTGGATTCGGACTGCACAAGAAGGTTCTAGAGAAGGAGTAAACAGATGGGAGGTATGCATACTTCACTGCTCAGCAAGCCACTGCAGACTTTTAAAAACCTTAGATTCTGACGTAATTAGACTTACCCTAATTTCCCACCAACAACTGAACGTGCAATTTCAACACACTCTTATTTCACAAAATACGACAAGCTTTAAAAAAATGAACTGGGCAACAAATGCAAAAGGTGGTTTTTGTTTTTTTGAAATGAGGCATTAAAAAAGCACTACAGTTCAGACTTACATCTGAACCCACACTTCTCGTGGTACTCTGTAGGACAGGTCTCGTCGCAGAAAGTTTCCCATTCACTGAGCTGCTCACCACAGGGGCTGGCACCACATTCACCACATGATTAGGTAGCTGTGCTGCTCCCCCAGAGACAGCAAGGACAGGCTGAGCAGAGGGCAGAACTCCAGGAGCCTGAAGTTGTACCACAGCAGGCTGAGAGAGCAAAACAGTCTGACCTGGATTAGAAAAAAGAAAAGTGATCAGAGAGTGCACAACAATTATGGCTGGGGAAGCAGTTTAATATTTAAGTCTCTTCTGCAGCTGTAACTAGGTAAGATCAAAACTGAGGGATTTTATACCCTCAAGTAAAACATGACCACAGCAGCACCTAATTATGGTGACTCTGCTGCTTTGTTTTGTAATGAGATCAACTAAGTTCATCCTCTCTGAATTATAAATAACAATGTATTTCCAGATTGGGTGCAGTAGCACATGCCTGTAGATCCACTACTAGGGAAGCTGACGCACTGAAGTAGTTTCAGCGCAGCCTGGACAACACAGTGAGATTCAATCTCACAAAACAATAACAAAAAATATATCTCCATATTTATATTTCTCAACTACACACATATCAAATTTGCTGTTATACATAGATTTCCTCTTAAATTTATTTCTGCTAAAAGGATTTTGCTTACTATAGATAACAAATTTTTCATACCAAACACAGAAAACCATATATATATGTGTATATATATATATATATGTATTTTTTAGGATACAGAAATAGCTATTTTATTTTTATTATTAATTCATATTAACTGTACAGATTAATAGGTCTGTTACTTCCATACATACATATATCGTACTTTGTTCAAATCCACCCTCCCTGATACTGTATCTTGGCCTCCCCTCCCTTCCCCCCTACCCTTTTCCCTTTCCTGTTAGTCTCTCTACTACTTTTAAATGTCATCATTTTTAAGATTCCTCGAGAGAAAGCATATATACTTTAAATTAATACAACTTGAACAAACGCATATGATACCAAAAATATGTGAACACTCAGTAACTCAATAATGGAAGGACAAGGGATTATAAATACCAAAAATCTTAAAACCATTTGAGATGACTTTTTAGCTAACAAGCACAGTAAACATAAATATGTAAATTTAAACATCCTCTAGATAATACCAACTATCGGGAGCATTTCTACATAAATTTTCGGGAAAAGTCATTTCATAATTAAAAGTATGACTATAGCTAAGGCTCAATGTTGCCTTGCCTGAGAGCCAGCTATGGCATGGGGAAACATAACTCCATTTGCCTCCGGTCACAGCTGAGGCCTCAATGGTCTGTGAAGCTGTGGCGCTCAACGGCAAGGTGACACCAGCTGAAGACATCCTGGTTCCTTGAGAACTCAGTAGTAACACAAAGGAGAAAGGTTTCACCTGGGGAGAGGAGGGGCGAGTTCCTTATCAGCCCAGCTCATCCCACCTACGGAGGCAGGAACGCTCTCCTTTCACCCTCATCACATGAACCTTGCATCAGTACTCCCTCCAATTATGGTGTGTACCCAATAAATACTGGCTAGCTCAGAGAGTCCTTGTCTTTGCCCACTCTGAGGCACTGCCTCCCAGGCCCCCCCATATACTATTGTCTTTTTTTTTCTTTAGCCCCCACCCTCCTTTCTAGGCAGTCCCCCTTTCTAGGCAGTTGGAGGAAATCAGCCTCTGATAACCAACCCTTCCAACCCTTGCCAAAGAAATACCCTTCTAGTCTTTTATTATTATTTTAAACATGTTTATCCAAAGACAACTGAGATCATTACCCTGAAGACTTACACAATTCAAAGAAGTGATCTATTAAAAATGTTTCTTTCCTGCTAAGAGTTTCTTTCCAAATCTGGTCAATTTTATATGGTGCTGAAAGCCTTCAATATCCACAGCTTCCTGGCCCTATCTAGCAAAATAAAGGTACTATAGTAACCATGAACTAAAATTCCATATAAATTTATAATTCTTTTTAACCAAAAAGAACCATTATACTTTCAGACAGCTTAAGATGACTCACATCAAACTCAGCTTGGCATTTCAAAGGATTAGGGAAAAATTAAAATTCAAAATAATCCTTCAGAACACCTGTTTGTTGGAAACATCTGTCTTGGCTAAAAAAAAATCTTTTATGAAGTCAAAGTGTTTGTTTCAGATGACCGCAAAAAGCATACTAAAAGTAGAAGTCAATTAAAAGTTTATTCCAGATAAGTTAGTAAGAAGATCTAAAAATAATTTCAAAGCTTTGAAATACATACAATTTACTTGAGCATAAATGAAAACATTTTTACCTTCTCGTTTTCCTTTATATTAACTTCTACTGTAAAGTAAAAACATAGACTGTGGAAATAGCTCATAAGCAGATATAAATATTTTAGGCTAACTATGCAAATAAAAAAGAATTAGTACCTAAAATAAACAGCATATGATCATGGTCTGGGCTTTTAATTAATAAGAAATTATAGTCAATTTAGCATTATGAAAAGATATACTCATCATAATTTAAAACTTAAACCAAGAGTTACCAACCCTGAATGTAAGAATTTTTCTCTAATATCAAAAATATCACAGTCACCCAAAATGATCATGGTTGACCTTTCAGTCCTACAGACTGAGAAAATATGTAATGAGGAAAGGCTATTCAGTAATAACTTAAAGTGAATCTTTAGTTTACTAATCTGAAGTATAGCCACAGAAATGTGAAAAATGTTTGTAAATGATATATGAAACAAACTATTTTTTCTACAAAAAATGCTTGCTACAAATATGGATTTAAGGATGCCTTGCAAAATACCATAGGCTACTACTCCCCTCATCCATTCTCAGGGTCCAGAGTTTACAGACTGAAAACCACTAAATTAACCCAATACTTGGAGAAGAACATTATAGAAAGCAATGTTCCATATCCTTTAAACTTAAGAATTACAATACAAATATATTCTTCCCCATTCCTAAAATAAACACTGTTCAAAATTTGGGGAATATTCAAAAAACAGAGGAGATGGTGAACACATAAAATTAAGTCACTTTAAAGAAAAGATCAGACTTCTAGCTTCAGTTATAAATTTAAAGCATTAGGTAACACATGCAGATGGATTTATAGAATTTTTAAACTAATTAAGAAAAATACTTCACTCTGCCTGCTCTGTCTAGCTATCACCATCCCCTTGCTGAGAGAAGCTCATGATGAAGAGGAGATGGAGGGTCACCAAGGCAAGGTCTGCACCAAATGTGGCTCAAGTCCAAGCAGGCCGCTGCTACTTCCTTTTTCCCATGCTACACACCAAGCTCTTTCATCCCCACATGCCCAACTATCCTCAAATTACTCAGCATTTAAATCAAGGAACCCCTGAATAGTCTAGCCACATTTGAGTTCAGGACAGAGTAGAGAGAAAACAACTAAATTTCTATTACCACAAGTTCAAGAACAAAAAGCTCTGGTGGTGACTTGCTAAATGCTGACCAGACCATAAAATATAATGTGAAGGTCTGTTTGGGGCCTCAAATAGTTAGCAGCTGAACATAGTTACTACTGTTTCTAGTGTAGGAACAGATAAAAAGGACATACAAAAAGGCTGTTTATCCATTTCAACGTGCTCAAAATCCTCTTTGGCATTACATGCAAATCCCCTTAATGGAAGGCAGCTGGATACTTGTGGCTATGTATGACTCACTGGTTTTGATGGTCAGTTCTTTCTTTTCCACTTTCTTCAAAGATTTCAAACTATGTATCAAACATTTACTGAATGCCTACTTTGTCTAAAATAGAACTCCTGTTTGAAACTTTGGGCAAATAAATTCTTTGTGTCCAGTTTTATCTCCATAAAGTGGAAATACTGGCACCTATCCTCACACAGATATATGGATTAAATAAGACAATGCACTTAAGAGTATCCAGCACATAAGAGTTTGAAATACCATTTATCACCATTAATATATATTTTTTTGAGACAGAGTCTTGCTATGTAGTTTAGACTGGCCTTGAACTTAGTATATAGCCCAGGTTGACCTCAAACTCCCAGTGATCCTCCTGCCTTGGCCTCCCAAGTGCTGGGATTACAGTTGTGCACCACCACATCAGGCTTGCATCATTAACATTTCTGCATAACAGCAGTTTCCATAAGGACATTGCATGTACTAATAATTCATTAGTTCTTTTGTTTTGAGACAGGGTCTCACTCTGTAGCTCAGGCTGGCCTTGAACTCACTATGTAGCCCCATCTGGCCTTGAACTCAAGGCAATCCTCCTGCCTCGGCCTCCCAAGTGCTGGGATCACAGGTGTGCACTGTCACACCTGGCAATTCATTAGTTCTTACATTGAGTATTATTTAACTATTTATATAGTTTAACTTCCTAGTTAAATGGTAGAATTCCTCAGAATTCTTGCGAACAAAATCACATTTCATTCTTTTAGAGGCAAAATAATGATTAATTACAAAGACTTAGCCAGACCACCTGGGCTCAAATGTTGGCTCCATTTCTTATTAGGAGTTGTTTTACCTCTATCTCCTATTTCAATGATTTGCATTATCATCTAAAAAGCCCAAGACAGAAATTCTTCCTTTCTATCCTTCATCCTCCTATCATACCATCCAACTAGCAAGTCCTGTGTTTTTATACTTTTTAAGACCTCTACTGTCCATCCTGGGCTTCCATTTCACTGGTGTTCCAGGCTTGTATTATCTCCTACCTGCACTGCTTATAACAATCTTAAAGGACATATAGGGCTTAGAAGCAGAAAAAAGTAGAAAATGTTCTGGGTTGGTAGAATAGTAAGAGCTAAGAAAGAATCAAGAAACTAGAAAAACCAAAAGAATTCAAATGACAATACCAGATTTGTTGAACTAGAAGAAGGGGCTTATAGAAAAAAAATGATATTATAAAATAAAGTTAGAAAACTAAAATAGAGCCAAATTGTGAAGGACTTTATATTCTATGCTACAAAATTTTAACCCTTTACAAGTTACATCTTCTTTTTCAGTGGTAAACTACTACTCACACAGACACTGATTAACTGTAAAGTACTTTGCCTATATTTCTCCTCTCCCTCCTGTCCCACTCTCAAATAAATGAAAGACATACACTTCAATCTGTATATTATAAAAATACTACCTCTCTAGATTGCACTATAAAAACAATTTTCAGTGCCTCATATTAGCACATGTTCACAAAAAATAAGTACAGTCTTCAGATCATGGGAAATCAGTGAAGTATGGAATAATGTGTGATTAGGTTTCTGGAAATGATAAATTGCTCAGAAAAGAACAATTATTTTTCTTGCCATAGGTAAGATTTTCTATCACTCACTCATAGCTAATGGTCACTTCAAAATACCTATCATCCTTTATACACTATCATATTAATATCACTTTTATTTTTAATGGATGTGTTTTATTTGAGGGAATGATAATAAGGTTCTTCATGAGTTAAAATTTTTAATCTTTAGAAAGGCACAGATCTTTCTGAGATCGTGATGACAGTATTTGAGATTATCCCTAGAAAAATCCATATATGAACATACACGAAATCATGCAATTTATTTCAAGGAGGTTGTGAATGTTTAACACCCATTTACAGGTCACAAGAGTATCTATTCTTCATAAGAAAAAGGTAGCAGTTTTGACCTTATACAGGCATTTCAAATTGTTTTTGTTTTTATTTGTTTTCTTTTGTTGCTAGGCATTGATTAATGGATTTTCACTTATCCATCCATTCTTTAATTTGGTTCTTTTTATCAATGTCCTATTTTCTATGCGCACGTACTAGAATAAAGATAACAAAGGAAATCAATTATTGACTCTGTCCTCATTAAAACCATGCTTCAGAGGCCGGGGATTTAGCTCAGTGGTTCTGCTGCCTGCCTTGCAAGTGCAAGGTCCCAAGTTCAATCCCCAGTACCAAATGAATAAATAAATAAAACCATGCTTCAAAGAAATGAGCTAACCATTCACAACTATAAATAGAATCATAAAAACAAATGGTACATCGGTGTTTATTTATAACTCATACCTAATTAACATCCAGTACTACTGGTACCAACAAGCTAAATGCAGAGAAAAAAATGCTATGCAAGTTTTCTCATATTCACATGTACATATGTCAATATGAGCAAAATGATGGCTAAGTTGCTGAGAGATCTCCATGAGCAAATAATCCATATCTAGAGTGCAAATTCTCAAACTTCAACTTCTTTCAATATGACCTAAATTCTTGCAGAATCACAAGTATATGAGGACATCTAGTGGCTAAAACACAGAAACACAAATTCTCAGCTAGCTGAAGGCAGAGTTCAGTTCTCCTAATGCCCAGTTCAATACTAAATATGAGGTCTCCTCAGAAATTACAGAATTACTAGATTCTATTGCTAAAACACACCCATTTGACCTGAAATGGACGACATTATTTTTTTAAATAAACTTTATTTTATCCCATTCCCCCCTTCAAGCCCTGGGCCATATTTTAAATACTGACTATTCTTTAAAAACAAAAAAAAAGTTCATAGCCACAAAAATCTCTGAATAAAATGGCACCAAGATTTTCTTCTTCATTACAAAACCAAAAGCCATTATGTAAAACATTTGAAGACAGGTGTTGGCATAATTCAAAAAAAGCAGTATCAGATGTAACTAATCTGGAGAGCTATCTCTGTTAGAACTAGAACCATGTATTAGTCATCTCTGAAAGATCCTCAGAGCCAAGGACAATTCTTGACACACAGCACATGCACAGAAATTATAACGTGCATTAAAACAAATCATGTGACATAAGCCTTACTGTCTTCCAAATGAACATTAACAGCTTCACATTCTATGCAGGTACCTTTACTGGGTGCAGGTTGTATACTGATAACTGGCTGCTGCTTTGCCAGTGGCACAAGTGTTGGCAGTGTCTGAATAATGATGGTTTTTGCTGGAACACTGGAGTTTGTTTGAGCCTTGGGTGCTGCTGGAAGTAATAAAGGCTTGGGCTGAATTGAAGGTTTTGAACTTAATGTAATTTTTTTCTTTGGAGTCATTCCATTTTCTAAAGAAAAAAAGAAAAAAACAAATACACCACAAATCATTCTGAACACAATTAGGAAACAGTCTGCTACACACTTTTCTTATATGTTATTTTGACTTCTGGGTAACTGGAGTTTAAGCATAGCTACTCTATATCTAAATGGACTAAAAAAGCTCCTTAACTGAGATCTTTCTGATCAAGCTGCAGTTCTGGGAAGGGGACACATGAACTGGTAAAGAAGAAGAGCTAAAATCATGGAATAAAGCCTGAAGATTAATGAGGTAATAAACATCAGAGTCAAATGGCCTCACATTCAGTATCTTTAACTGAAACTTTGAAATCTCTCTTGAAAATGAGATAGTCTAAGGCTATTTTCAAATATTTTTAACCTATAAAGACAGAAACCACCAAATTATTTCTTCCCTTACCTCACAACAGTAATCACTCATAAGAAAAAAAAAGGTCTACTAATTTAAAAACAGCAAACCAGTTTAATAAACTTGTTTAAACTGACATTTTATTTAAAGAAATAGAACCTAAGCTCTGTCTGAAATAGAAACAACAGAAATTAGGACACAGAGTAATACCAGTTTTGTTTCTAGGACCAATAATAGGTTTGTCTTCCTTCAGTGGCTCTCCTGAGGATGGACTATTACAGTTTTCACCATACAAGGAAAGAGGAGACATCTGGGAACTAGAAGACAAATCCAACTCCTCCTATAACAAAAAATTAATGAATTAATTAATGCAGAAAAACATATTTGAGCAGCATATTACTTACAAAGAGAGATGACAAAACCCATACATAAACAGAAAAATACTTCAAGGCAGCTTCAAGGCAAAGATGTCATATGTTAGAAAATCTATGTGATATATTAATCTATAGATTAAGTACATGCCTGGATTAATCAACATATCTACTTGATTCCTAATTATATAAACATATAGTCTCATTATAAGGCTACAGTTAAAATGCTAGTCTTTTCTCCATAATCTCTTTTATTCACTCTTAAAAGAATCTCAAGCACAAAATAATTCTTACTATTTTTATCCTTTCCTATCTATTAACACTATCTTTGTCCGAAATGTTTTAAAGGAAGGACAAACACTGAAAGGAACAGGGCTATTTTCTCTAATGTGTGAATTGCTAATACAGAGATATATAAAAGTAACCTTAATATTTTCCAAGTCTTTTCATAGTCAGTAGATCTGTCTCACTTTGTTAGAATAAGGAAGTTTAACATAGGATAAAAGTAGTTTTTCAATCCACAGAGAAAAAGATGCTATGTGTGATAACAGAATAGGCACACTCTTCATATCATATTCAGAATAATCCCTAAGATTATTAAAAGAAAATTTTTAAAAATACTTGTTTAGTTTCAGAATGATGTAGGCTCTATTAAATCAGAACACTCGTAAGCCATAAAGAAAGAAAAAACAGATTTTAACAACTAATAATCAAAATATTTAACTGCAAAAACTAGATCCAATGTTAAAAGATAGATGCTGGAAGAAAATATTTGCCAAAAATGGACAAAGGATAGGAGCAGCCATTTTACTGAACAAAAATGCAAATGGCAGCCAAAGCGAAATTTAAAAGTTTATTTGTTATCATAGGAAAAAATAAAAATGACCTAGAGATTATATGGGAGAAATGGCCACTCAGTCTCACTGGTAAGAGAACTACTTCATTCATCCATCCTTTACATCTACTCAGCACGTGGCCAGGAGCTGTCCTACTTGAACCTTGTAAAATACTTGTAACTTATTTGTAAGAAACCAAAAAGTACAAGACAACAACACAGAAGGAGACTATTATCTTCACAGCCTTAAATGCTTAACAGGTATTTGATAAAAGTTAGCAAGAATTCCTCATAAAAGTCCTAGAATATAGAGATTAGGAGGATGATTTCTTAACATAATTTTTTTAAATGCTATGTGTAATTATTACACTGTGAAAGCCATACTTACTGGTGAAACACTGAAATCATTACCATTAAAGTCAAGATAAGAAAGATACTTGCTTTTCCTATAATTTTAGGAAATATAGCTGTACTAGAATATGAAGAATGGAACAAACATTAAAATAGAAGAGATAGAAGTGTCTTTCTGCAAGGTGATATATGCTGCTTGCTTGGAATACACACAAAAATCAACTCAAAAAATATCTGACTATGAAAATGTATTAATATTACTCAGGAAATATAATAAACAAGAAAAAGATAACTCAGAAAAAATTATCAAAGAACAAGAATAATTTACAGAAGAAAAAGTCCAAGAAACCAACAAGACTGTAGAAAAATGTTTAAAATAATTAGTTATCAAAGAAATACAAATTAAGCCAGGCATGGTGGCACACCCCTGTAATCCCAGCACTCGGGAGACTGAGGCAGGAAGATTGCCTCAAGTTCCAGGCCAGCCTGAGTTCAAGGTCAGCCTGAATTACATAGCGAGACCTTGTATCGAAAAAAAAAGAAAAAAAATATAAATTAACACAATAGAGTACTACTCTACCATAAAGGATAAACTTGAGTTATTTGTGGGGAAATGGATGCACCTTGAAAACCATAATGTTAAGTGAAATAAATCAAACACATCACCTTAAATATCGCATGGTTTCTCTTATAAGAAAAACCCAAAGTATAAATAATTTAAAGACCAAAGTAAATGATAGATAATAGGAAACAGGAAGATAGATTTTTGCAAATGGGAAGGAGACCTAGAGATGAAGGGATGGGGGAGGGAGTGGAGAGAAAGGGACAGTAAAAAGAACTAAGATGTGTTACATATAGGTACCAACTCCCCATGATGGATGGGCTAAGGTTTTACTAAAGTCTTATAGCTCCTTAAGTACCAGTTAAAATCTATTGACTTAATCCAGATGAGATAATGTTGGCCTGGAAGGAGCAGAAAAGAATCATAGAGACATTAAATAGCTAGAATCACCAGGATTTAGTTGACTAAATGTAGAGCCTACGAGAATGAAGATGTCTCAATTTGCAGTAGATATAAATATGTCGAAACACTAATTTGAACTTTCTTCTTGTATTTTCCCTTTCCCTATTACCTAAATCAGGGACTTCCTTTTCTTTTTTGTTTTTGTTTTTTTTTGATACCAGGGGTCAAACTCGGGTCCTTGCACTTCTGCAGCAGGTGGCAAAACCACTGAGCTAAATCCCTGGCCCAGGATTTCCTTTTCTTGACCTCAGGGATTTGTCTTAATGAAAAGCAGATACTACGCCTGTTTTGCAAGTGCAAGGTCCCGAGTTCAATCCCCAGTGCCACAAAAAAAAAAAGAAAGAGAAGAAAAGCAGAAGCATTCTTAAGGAGCTAACAGACTTTAGTTAAAAACTGCATGCTCAAAAGATAGAGCTAGGCATTCCTGAACTAAAGAGATCATTCTAGGTTCTACGGCTAAAGAGTTACAAAACTTAACAATGTTAGCGGGGCATGGTGGCATATTCCTGTGCTCCTAGCACTCAGGAGGCTGGGGCAGATCGCTGAGAGTTCGAGGTCAACTGGGGCTACATAGCAAGTTCAAGGCCAGCCTACACTACAAAGTAAGACCTTCTGTCAAAAAAAACCAAAAAAACAAAAAACCTAACAATCTTATCATTCTTCCAAGTCCTTAAAGAATGTATATTCTAATAGGAAGAAGAAAAAGATACAGAGAAAATGCAGTAAGCTAGTAAACAACAACAGCAAAAAAAACTAGATCGTGGTAAAACAGAATGAACAATAAAATTATGGAGGCAAGAGCATAGGGGAAAAAAGTCAAAACCAAAGACACTAACAACTTTCTAGCTCCCAACAGGCCCTTCCTCACTTCTCAGCTTCCTCAGGAGATACACAGTAGTGAGGACCCTACTTCATTAAAGGTAACTACCTCCCCATGCACATACTTTCCAGGCAGCATTATAACCCAAATCATTGGAAAAGACTGGCTACTTACAGGGACATGCTGAGTTGAAGAACAAGACTCCACTGACTGAGGAGATGAGACCGAACAACTTGAAGCTGGAGAAAGTGGCTGAGGTTCTGCCTTAATATCTTTAACTGAAAAATATGGAATAAAGGTTCTTCTCACTGGACAATATAAACTCATAATAAAATGAATGAGAAAGAAGGTAAGAACTACTCTTATGGGAGCTAAGGTCACCAAAATATATCATTCAGTGGACATGCAAGATGCAGAAAACAGTATATCTAGCTAAGTTTCCATTTGTGTTATAAGTTGTGTATGTGTCTACAACTGCTGACATCTTCCCTGATTCTTAGGAGGTTTAAACAAAAGAAAATGGTAACAATGGTTGTTGACTGTGAGGAGGAGAACTTGTTGGCTGAGGAATAAGCGCAGAAAGAGACATTTTTCTATTCCATAAACTTCTGAGACTTCTGAATATTATACCATATGCAAAAAATTACAGATTCATCCCAATTTTTTTAAATATAAGAAACAGGAAAAGAATTATCCTGGAAACCATTTCTAATGATATAATTAAAACCACAAAAAACATTCATATCTTTTGAACTATTAATTTATCCTATAAAAATTTATGAGCAACTACAGCCCAGGCAGTATTCCTGTCAAAGATGTAACTGAGCAGGAGTAGCAGGCTGTGTTTTCCAAAGCCACAGAATATCTGCCATCCCTCATGATTTTCTTTTTTTTCTTTCTCTTTTTTTTTTTTTTTTTTGGTACCAGGGATTGAACTTGGGACCTTGCACTTGCGAGGCAGGCAGCAGAACCACTGAGCTAAATCCCCGGCACATCCCTCATGATTTTCTATGATGCCACTTCCCAATCAAGAAGTGGAGTCTATTCTCCCTTGCCTTGAATTTAGGTGGGCTTATTACACAGGTTTATTACGTAGTTTATTACACAACAGTAACCAGGACACTGGCCTTGTATATCCCAAATTCTACAAGGGAAGACAGGAATTGAGCAAGATAATTAAATACATAAAACGAAGGGGAATACGAAGGGAACAGAGAGGAACTTAGATGAGGGAATGTTCTGGTTGTTTACCCTCTCTGCTATGTTCTGTGATGCAAATCATGACCTTATTTCCTAGCTGGCTTCCTTTTAGGCCCTGTCAACTGGGAGTACTAGAAGGATGGTAGAAGACAAGAGAAAGGATTTCTTTTTCCTCCCATGAGCTTTAGCCCAGCAGCAGTAATTTCTCCAGGTTTCAGCTTCTTTCAGCACACTCAAACTTCACCTCATCAAGCTCCATTAAAGATGTTACCATCAGCCAACAGTGCCCCTCCTCAGAAGCATGCACAGCAAATGTGTGAGCCCTTCTACCAAGTTCCCAGCTTCTGGTAACCCCAACCTCCTCCTTTTGGTTCCCTAATCCCAATTGGGTTCCCAGATAGGTGAGTCTCCTATAGAGGTATTATTCATAATCTGAAATCAATATTTCTATATCTAATATGATCTATTCATTTGTTATACTTCTGAACATAACTATGAAATTCTTTATATTCCTTATGGCAAGAAATTTATTTATGCTTTGCTATTCCAGAAATGGGATATATAGTTCCTGAAATCTTTTAACCTACCAAAACAGTCCAATAGCCTCATTCTGAGTATTACCAAACTACAAAATAAAATGAATCTGGTTAAAGCTTTCAGCAATGAAGCATATTATTACCTGTACAGAACTGGCTGTTTATGCTCCACACGTCTGACTCCCAAGGCAACAAATCAAAATCAAAATCAAGATGATCAAAATTACTTTCCTGTAGGTTTCAAATTGACAAAAGAATATTAAGATTTTAAAAATTATATATATACATATATATACATATATATATATATATGTATACATATATATATATATATATCTTGAAATCAAACTGCCAGACACAATTTGCCATAAATAATTGCTAGGGTCCAAACAAGTAAAAAGAATTATCTCTGTCAAGTGGTTCATCTCCAGAATACATCACAGAGAACTGAGAAATAAACTAATTCAGTTACTTGAAGCAAAGCAGTAACAAGAAAGGAAGTAATGAAGTCAATACCTAAAAGATTTAGCTGGGCTCATTCTTTTCTGTGGGAATAGATCACTAGAGGAGTCACAAAATGTGTCTTTTGCCATAGAGGAGCACCAGCAAAATAGGTTTTCCCACTGCCATTAGGGAAAATAAGTCCAAACAAATAGCTATTCATAATATCATCTCTGTATACAAAAGAAATACAGATATATCCAAATAAAAATGTAGGAGGAGTCATAAAAAGGGTAACTAGCACAGGGTAATTTCCTTTTTTTCTACTGTGCTATACTTTTCAAATTTCTAAAACTTTTATGATTTTTTTAAAAACATTTTTTAGTCCTAGAATATAAAAATTAAGTTTCTCAAAGAAGGGTCAACAAAATTCCTTTAGAGGATCTTCATTAATTTCCTTTCATTTAGGTTTTAATTTCTTTTACTTAAAAATGAACATATTCTAGCTGGGTATGGTGGTGCATGCCTGTAATCCTAGCACTCAGGAGACTGAGGCAGAAGGATCTCTACGAGTTCAAGGCCAGCCTGGGTTACATAGTGAGTTCAAGGCCAGCCTGAACTAATAGCGAGACCCTGTCTCAAAAAAAAAGAACATATTGTGGCTCATCCAGATGGCCACCTTCTATTATGTACATAAATACAGAACTAATGTATGATTTCAGAGCCTTCATGTGGGTTTGCCATCAAGACAGTTCCCAACATTACTGCTTTTTGTTTTTTCCAACACTCGGCTGGGGATTCAAGCGAGGACCTCATGCGTGTTAGGCAAGCACTCTACCACTGAGCTACATCCCCAGCCCTTTTTAGTTACTGTGAGACAGGTTCTGATAAGTTGCCCAGGTTGGCCTCAAACTTGCAATCCTGCCCCAGCCTCCTGAGTAGCTGAGATTACAGGTGTGTGCCACCACAGCCAGCTTCAAACAGTACTGTGTAAAAGTGTTTGGAGTTACAGAGACAAGAACAGAAGTAAACAATTCAATAAAGTCAAAAGGCAGGCCATAATAATTTAATGTGACAGATTATAAAACAGCAACAACACAGTAAGCCTTAGTCGAAACATAAAACTTCATCTCATAATTGATAATAACTATTTGTTAATAATTTCTAGGACAGTACTATCGTTTCAAAATATCTATTATATGGTTTATTTTTAGTGGGAATGTAACAGAGAGAAGAGAAACTTTTCTTATCAAACTGCTCTTAAGTAAATTTAGGTACAAAGTACATAAAGAAAATGTGTAGAAGTTCCCATGGAAAAAAAGACTTAAATCACAAAAGAACCACTTTTAAAAATCAATCTCTTTTTTCTGTTTGAATCAATGCCTCAAAAAATTTAGTAGTCTTGTACTTTCAGCAACCAAAAAAATCTTTTAACTTTCTTTGTCTAAGTAAACTTAACAGTGCTGCTTGCTTGAAGGCTAGTGATACTTTAAAACATGTACAACAGTGGATGTGATCTGTTCCAAGGATGCTTCTGACTCAATCCTCAGCCTAACCAGTCAAATACCTTCTACAACTAAAGAATTTTATCTGGCTGGAAATTTAACAGGTCCATTTTATATAAAGTGAAGCACAGTGGCTCTTGTATAGTGTGGCTCTTCAAGGATGTGTTATGGGAAATTCTCCCACATGTAGAAGAAGGAAGACAGACACCAGAGCCCTCAGGGACCATCACCCCTTCATGTTATAATAGAAAAACTAAGGCGCTAAAAGACTGAGTAACATAAAAAGTAACAGAACGTCAGATAAAAAACCAGGACCATATTTTCCTGAGTCTTACAAATTTAACACTGTTTTTTGACACTTTAAAAAAAATACTGTTTCTTGTACAATCTAGAGGTTATGAAAGAATATCAGTTGCTTAGTACACCAGCCAATATAAAAAAGCCAAATTAACCAAGAGGTCACATTCTAAAGCATCTCACAGAGTAAATGAAATCATTAAAATCCCATGTGGTGATCTAAAAACTACAACATGGATTTCACTAGCTTCTATTGATTCATAGTAAAATGCTGCCAAATCATTCTTTGAGAGTATCTGAATCTCAAGCCAAAGTTATATATCTTTACACTCAAGTTACTAAGAGCTTTAAAAATAAGCAATTGTCAACCTGGTTGATAAATTACTTTGGTTGATAAATTGCTCACACTTAAGTTACTTCCCATGTGAAACAGTACTTCATCTATTAGAGAATAAGACAAAGTTAAGAGTTCTATAAACCAATCAGTTTCACACGTACTAACCAAACAAAAGGGAAAAACCAAAAAGAAAATCTAAGATATTTTTGAGGTATCAGTGTTACAATAACAGCTTTTACATAGATCTCTAAACAATAAAAAGCAAAAAATATAAGGATAAACCTAATTTTCAGAGTTTTCTACATTAAGAAGACATAACTTTTCAAAAAGGAAGTTGGTAAGTTCTATTTGACTGAACTCATGACTCACATATACCCCTTACTATCACACCATTTCCCTTATGCAGCAAAATATCAAGAAGTAGGCAGTTTAGTGACTTTTCCAAGGTCACTCATCTGGCGGCAAAAAAATGGGCTTAGAATATAAGTCTTCCCACACCAAGACCAATGCAATTCTATGGTGCTACATTTACTGACCACATAATGGCTACTACCTTTTATACTTAATATTCAAAGCCAATTAAACTTAAATTATTAGCCTAAACCTATTGTCCTGAAACTTTACAATAACTAGGGTAAATTCAGTATTCATTCAGTTTTTCTCCTCTCATAAGTACTTACAAAGGTTTCACTTGCTGCATCCAATTGCAGCTCATCCATGTCTGTGAAATAACCAAGTTCAGCAAAGAGTGTAGAATCTTTGAACAAAAGAAGAGAGGTTAACTGTCAATTCAATGATATGACACAAGAACAAGCACTATATTCCTATGCCAGCTCCATCAGGGTTTCTCATTAGCCACTGGTACTACTGATGAGCTCAGGCAGTGTGAATGACAAGCAGTTCAAGTGGCTTTTTAATATATGTGTTGTTTTCCACATAATTTTTATCCTGCAAACTAAATCCTTACCCCAGGGATTTAAAAGGTTTTATGTTATATGTCATGTTGCAATCATTGGTGGTGACTTTCTGGAATATCACTAATAAGAATGTTGATGGCACATCTGTGCTCACCACACAAAAAAGTAACACGGTTGATCAGCAACAATGAAAAGAGAGGACTATGGAGAAGATACATGTATTGTGTACAAGTATTTGCCATCCATGTCTTAAATTAAGGGGACAAATAATTTTTTTTTATCTAGACAGTAAAGGACTTACTCGTCTAAACTACTAAATTCAGTTCCACAAATCAAACTATATTCTAATTTCCTAATAAGATTTCCTTAGAAACCAAGAAAAACATAGACAAGAACACTCTTCAGTAAACGAGGTTAAATAATTTGTTGGGTTTTTTTTTTTGGTACCAGGGATCGAACAAAGGACCTTGCACTTGCGAGACAGGCAGCAACACCACTGAGCTAAATCCCCGGCCCAAGGTGAAATACTTCTTGTAAAGAAAGGTCACAGTGCTGACAAGGCTCACTTCTTCTACTGATTATCATACAATCTGTAAAGTTTCTATTTTTCTCTAACACATTTAGAAATTCAAGGGCTTTCAAGAGTTTTCTAAATCTCAGTCTTCTTTAATACTTTTCAGTACCATCCCACTGAAACTGCTTTGGTCATTTCCTCACTACGCATGTTCATGAACTATATTGCCAGTCTATTACTAACTTGGCCAATAACAGATACATTTTACCAACTTAAAATAATAGCCAGTGTGGTGGCACACTGAGAGGTCAGCTTCTGGGAAAGCAGAACAATGAAGATGCTGGTGTTCGGAGTGCAATCATCTGCAGCAATGTACTTGGATTCCAAAGAAATGGGATGCTAGGGAAGAAAGGTTTGCCTGGTGGAGACGGCTGCATGCCCAGCCACCAATGAAATGAGATTAGTGGGAGGGAAAACAGAGCGCCAGATGGGAGAGGCAGCCTGAGAAGTTATGAGATTAAATTTTAACAATATATAGGATTTAAAAACACACCAAGGGAGGAGGTTAAAAGAATAAAAAGGTATTAAATTAGAATTGTTAGTAAGTGGATGGATGGATGGATGGATAAATTTCTTAGTTCTGTCTGCTGAGAGGTTTTAGCAGCAATGGCATCCCAACAGCAATGAAAATACTGTGTGCCCAGATCTTCAATACCAAATAACATCCTCCACTAAATGGAAATTTACTAAAATGCTCCTTGGAGAAATGGCTGATTCAAGAGCTGAAGCAGAGAAAGTGCAAAATAAGCTTGGAAAATTTTGCATCCGAAATGAAGGAAATCTGCAGCAAATGATAGGAACATTTCAAAAAACCAAAAGCACCAATGTAGACTCCCAGTGGTATAATCTGGAATCAAAATAAGATTATCAGATTACAGCCCACTGAACCAAAAAGGAATCAGTGAGTCCATAATGAAAGAAACAAATTGAACTCTTTCTTGTGAAAGAGTTCTCCTGTGAATTAATAAATGAATACAGAATGATAGTGACATAATTCCTAAATGGCAGCCATTAGAGTGGTAGTTGATACAGGATGGAGTTATCAATGGGGCAAGGGTAGTGGGTGAAGGTTTAATAAGAACAGGATATTGGTGTCATGTCATATTTCCTACTCCCAAATTGTAATAAAATACAAAAGGAGAAATGGTGACTTTACAGTGGCATTTAGCAACTTAAGCATCGCCCTGAGATAGGTTAGCATAGTGTGTCTCCAAATGTGATGCATGAAGAAGAGCACACATAATTTATCCAGCATTCCTGCCCTGGATGCATGGCCTGAGTCTGGTCACAAGGAAACAGAGGACAGATCCACTGGTTTAGAATCATCTTCTAGAATACAAGATCTGCACTCTTTAAGATTGTCAAGGGCACAACAGACAGGAAAAGACTAAGGAACTATTCCAGATAGAAGGACACTGATGAGACATGATGAGTAAAAGCAACATGTAAGTACAAGAAGGATCCTAAACTAGAAACAAAAAAGGGCCATTATTGAGGTAGATGCCAAAATTTGAATGCTGTCTATGAATTGGATGGGAGTGTTGTATCAATATTTATTTCCTGACTGGAAGAAGTACTACATATTATAGTACCACAGAAAGTATCTCTGGTTTGCTGTTTGCTTTTGGGCCATGGGCAGAAGGGTGTATACACTGTAGGTGCTTAAGGGTGATAGATCAACTCCTCTCTTTGCCTCCCTTTTTAAAGAAAGAGAAAAATAGAGTAAATGCAGTAAAATTTAAAAATTGAGCAATCTGTGTGAAAAGCATGTAAAAGTTATTTGTATTGTTCTTACAATCCTTCTGTAGGTCTGAAACTATTTCAGAATTTTAAAATGTATGTGTCAAGCTGGGTACACCGGCACACACCTGTGAAACCAGCTACTTGGGAGGCTGAGGCAAGAGGATCACTTGAGCCCATGAGTCCAACACCAGCATGGGCAATACAGCAATGCATGGGCAATACTCTGTCTCAAAAAACGTAAGTGTATATACATATGTGTATATGTATGCATGTTATGTATACATGTGTTTATGTATGCATGTGTGTATGTGTAGGTGTATATATCCATAATCCAACCACTCTGCTACCATTATAACTCATGGGGATGCTATAGAAGCCTCCTGACAGTCTCCCTGCTTCTGCTCTTGACTTTTTTCAACTATGTTCAATGGAGCAGCTAATGCAAGATTACAGAAAAAAGGATGTTACTGAGAACTAGGATTCTCAGGGGAAGAGAAGAGAAATACAAGTACAGTTATGTGCCACACAGTGACATTTCAGTAGCCCACACACAACAGACACATACAATGATGGTCCCATAAGATTATAATGGAGCTGAGAGCGAAGCATGGGGGCGGAAGCCACCAAGCCCCTCTCCTGGGTCGGTTAAGATCATTAAAAATACTGGTATAATAATGAACACAATGTGTGCAATGATGGCTTGGCTCTTAAGAACTCATCTGATAAATTCTTCACTGATTATGGATCAAGTGAAAATGATTTCCTGTCCTGGTGCCATTAGAAATAGAATAATATCGACCCATAAATCCAAAAAGAAGATCAGAGAGTATTATAGGCTGCTGAATCTAGAAGAAGGATGCTCTGTAGAAGATGTCCGGGAATCTTTTCGTAAGCTTACCAAGCAATACCACCCAGACACAGCTCTAGTGCTGCAGACTCTGCAACATTTATAAGGATCGAAGAAGCCTACAGGAATGTGCTTTCCCATGTGATGGAGCAAAGAAATGCCAGGCAGAATGAAGAAGAAAAAGAAGAAAGAAAGAAGAAGAAAGAAGAAGAAGAGGAGGAGGAGGAGGAGGAAGGAGAAGAGGAAGAAGAGGAAGAAGAGGAAGAAGAGGAAGAAGAGGAAGAAGAGGAAGAGGAAGAAGAA